TATCAAATATTGGGGGGGGGGGGGATTCTATGGCGGTTATGGTTCTACGAAATAATGTGCATCCTTAAGCTAGGTTCAAAGCCGTATTGTGTTTGCATGCCGTAGTTCAAAAATCTGCCAGAGAGGTGCTCTTTCTCAGTGAACAGCACACCTGGTGTTACTGATTACCCCAACTGCTCTCAACCAATGAAGACGCACACAGGAGTAACTATTACAGCACGAACAGAGTGGGGGGGCTGATGATGTGTTTGTGTAAGTGAGTGTGTGTGTTTGTGTAAATGCCCTACCGGGACACCACATTAATGTTTGCACACGCTGCACCAAGTGGCTTCATCTGGCATTTAACCAACAGAGAGATCAGCATGTCACCTTGGGTTTGGGGAGGGGCTTTGATTAATGGCGCACAGGCCTTTAAAAATAAAAGAGCTATTGGATTTTCAGTGTTGCTGTGTGCAAGAGCTCGGGGTGTTATAGGTGTGAATTAGATACAAGTCACAATAAGGAGAATTTGAAATTGGGACGGAAAGCACTACTACATTTATCAGCTTTTCACACCACAGCACACCATCTGCTAGAGCAAGGTGATGCTCAGATCTCTCTGCCCCAAAGTATTTCTCTATTTATTTCCCACGCACTCTCTCTCCGGCCATTAGAGGCTGCCGATTGTTGAGGGTTGTTGATCTTTAATGCTGCGAGGTCGGGAATGGTTCGGGAGTCTCGAGCTGCAGCGGATGAAGGAGGAACTTACTATGTGCACTCGGTACATGATGCTGATCCCCAGAGTCATGAAGGGTTTGGAGAAATCAATGACCTTCTCCCTCTCAGCCGTGATGGTCAGGGCGGCCACAGCCAGGTCAGCCTTCTGAAACACATGCAAAATAACAGCAGCCATTAGTGCGGGTCTGGATAAAAAGGTGCAAAAAAATGGAGCCAGACTAACCAGACTAAGGTGGTATGTACATGGTTTCTTGCTGGTTCAAGAAAGGGGGCAATTGGCCCCTCAGATATTTAGGCTAAGTGAATTTATACTTAATTATCAACAGTGTTGTTATTGTTAACTAAAAGTAAAACAAATAGTTTTTGTGAATTAAAATAAAGCTTAAATAAAATAAAGTATAAGTATTAGATGAAAAACCTAAACATAAAAAGTTAAATGTTGAAGTATTAAAATTACTAAAAATAAGGCTAAAAAAGACTAAATGACTAAAACTAAAAGAAAAATAGAAAATATTAAAACAATTGCTAATTCAAAATATTAATAAATACTATAATATTATATAAATTACACAAAACAATGCTGATTGTCAAATGGAATTATAAAATTCAAAATTTATTTATATAAATTATTACAATTAAATTTAAATATTAGATGAAAACCTTAAAGTTAAAATGACTCAAATTAAAACTGAAATAAAAAAATCTAAAAGTAAAAAAAAAAATAATAATAATAATGATGAAAGCACATAACAAAATCACTGAAACTTAAACTAAAATGAAGTCAAATAAAAACTAAAATAAAAAAGTTTTATAATTATAATATAAATATTACAACATAGAAAAATAAAATTGTCATCATCTACCTAGCCTTGTCACCAATGAAATAGGTAAAAAGTGTTTGTTTCTTTTCTCTCCAAAAGCACAAATTTCCACTGGACCCCACTCAAAATCATGACACCCCTGTAGTCCATCTTAGTTAAGCTGATTTGAGCATGTAGACCATCTCAAACCAGCAACAAACCAGCTTAACCACCTTAAGCTGCCATGACCTGTCATTTTACACCTGGAAACAACTGCTTCCAGTCCAAATACCTGTATTTTGGTGAATACTGAAGGGCAAAGCTGAGTTGTTGTTGTGTGTGTGTGTGTGATGGAACATGAACACAGAAACTGTCATGACAAATCACTTGACACAGCATCCAGTGCTGCCGGGCATGATGCTGCGGCTGGATCCCACTAATCAAACAACACCGAAAAGTGCATCTGCAATGAATTTTACGGTCCTGCGGGACACACTCTTACCCTCCTCTGCTCTTTGTCCTCTCCAGGAGGAATGATGGGATATTGGAGCTGTGCTGTAAATGAGAGAGAATCTCCAGACAGCAGATACCAGTTACAATGTGATGTTTTATCCTCTAACCTGAACCCTTGAAAGTGACAGGAGAGGCTTGTTAGCCGAATTAGGAACTTTAGGCACATTTCAATATAAGAGAAGTATAATTAAGATACTATTATAGTATATTTTGATAAGTTATAAGTTTATTTTCATATTTTGTTTTTTTATTTTTAAACTGCTTTGTCAAGCCAACATAAAGTTTGTCTTGACAAAACGTTCCTAGTTTTAATACATTTTTTTGGAAATTTTGGTGTGTATTTTTGTTATTGTTTTTTTTTTCTGTCTATATAGTTTTTATTAATTTTTTATCTTGGTTTTAGTTATTGTAAGTCAAAATAATATACTTAAAAAAAAACATTTTATTATATTTTATTAAAAAATATTTAAATATTTTATAAGTAACAATGTTTTTTAATGGTTTTAGTTTTAGTTAACTAATAACCCTGCAACAGTCTGCTCACCTGATTATAAAGCCAGTTATGTCGTTATCTTGCCATGTACAGTACTTCACCGTATCAAAAGAGACTGTGGCACGGGAAGATGAACTCTCGCACGTTCCCTGAAGATTCCTTCCACAATAACAGCTTGCAGATGCACTAATCTTCAAGTGCTCTCCATAGTTCAACTGTGGCCCACAGCTCTTCTTCAACTCATGCACACTTCACTTCACACAACAAAACATCACGTTGACACACAAACAAGGAAATTACGTGGTCCCTGCTGAACAGAAATCCCTCAAACAGATGTCCTCCGTAACAGAAACAAGGACAATAACTGCAGCTCAAATATTTGACATCTCGTTACGTATTAATATTGATGACTGGACTGCACAGAGAGGAAAATTATGAGACAGAGACTCTAAATAATAAATAATGCAGTATGATATTCTTCCTGCGTTCCATCCTCCCCTTCAGCTTTGACTCAGTCAAAAAGCGATGCCCCCCAAAAATGAGAGAAGGCGGCAATGTTAACTCTATCTCTACTGAATAATACATTGATGTAAGTTCCAAGTGTGGCATTTCAAATTCCCTCTGAGGCTTATTCTTCATCTGACGCTAGAGAAAACCCTGACAGCTCGGCTGCTTCGCTACCTTTGTGTACTATTGCACTGCCTTTAGTTTTACAAGAGTTTACAGAACATTAGAAAGCATGACCAAGACCCCCTTTGGGATCAGGAGTCCATATTTCAGGACAAGAGTGAGCTGCTTTTGTGCAAATTCCCATCCACCAGCAGTATTATATTATTATTAAACATTATAAATTCTAATATTAATAGAAGAAAGATATTGGTATTGTATTTGCTACCTCATTTATCAACACATAACCACCAAAATACATAAATTAAACATCATTTTAAACTTTGATTTGACCATTAATATCTTAAGATTTATTTTTCGTGAGCTATAAATTGCATTCAGCATTTAAATAGATATGCTGGCCAAAAACAAAACAAAACGAAACAAAAAACAAAACAAAACAAAAACAATTTAATTGATCATTAATTATTTTAAATGTTAAAAAGTCACTTGTATACAGTACCAACTGTTAATATACTTTAATAAGGGAAATAAAATGTTATATTACAAATGCATGCATGAGAAAAAAACAAAAACTGAACAAATAAATAAATAATCTGATGCACTGCATCATAGTGAAACATAGTGAATGGTTTATAAATCTGTTGTCAACAAAAAAATAAGCATTTCAAGCATTCCTGTGGTTTTCAGCCAAAATAAAAACATAAATATTGTATAGTAATTGTACTATTGTTATATAAAACAATGACAATAATAATAATAATAATAATAATAATAATAATTCTTGTTTTTTCCCCAATTTGTTCTGCCTGTTTTTTAATGAAATTATGCACATACAGTTTTATAGCCAGTAAAAAAACATAGCTGGCAAATTTTCTCAAGTCACCATCCATTAGCAGGTGTGGCAAAATGTTAGCTTGTACTTCATTCAATGTTTGTTACATTCAAACACAACTATGAAAATATCTGTAGTTTTTGTTCATATGCAAATCTACACCCATGTTTTTATGCAATAAATAACAGGATAAAGGTCCCTCATGGGATCCAACAGGTATAGAGAGGCTGTCAGGACGCCTCCTTCAGTTGCCCCTCATTACCCTCTACTGTCTACAGACACTATAGCGCGTGGGATGCAATTAGACTCATTGGCTACTCTCAAGGTCAGCTGTATAGAGCATACTTTGAGGGAACAAACTGAGACAATAATAAGATTAGGCACTTCTTTCTTTATTTCACTAATGGCTTTGCCCTCCATTAGCTTGTGGAATTAAGACTGATAACTTCTCAAAGCCTCTCCGTTTTTGTATGCGAGAACATAGGCTGTGGAGAAATGTTCTGGTTTATGACCCTTTCCTCTGGAATTCCTATATGAATATCGCCTGCCGTGGCCTTTTTGTTAATTTTCGAAAATTTACTTTGCTCCCTGCAGTGCCTGCCAAAAAACGGACAAATAAATCAGCAGCACGCCATATTGCTGCAACTGTTTTTAAATAAATAACATTTCCGCTGAAAAGGGCAAGTGTTCGGAACTAAACAGAATTTGAGGCATGCAAGATTTCCATCTCATCAACGGGATGTTAGTGGCTGTCAGAATGGGACTAATACTCTTCACGCTTCACCGTGTCTTTTGTGTATCTGTGTGTGTCTGTTATGGGATCAGAAGGGCTAATTGAAATTCATTAGGACAAGGAACTTGTAACTGGGTTGGAGGCATAAACATGAATATTGTTGGTTAATCTGCATTACCCGTGTGGAAGCAAGTAAAACAACTTTTAGACTAGCTTTAAGGCTTCCTTCCTTTAATGAATTATTGAAATGAGCATTTGAGAATGAATAATTCTAGGCTAAAACAAGAGGAAGCAGATCTTTTCATGCTATGTATCCTGAACAGCAGAAGTGGTGTGCTTTGAATGAAATTCATACTACATGGGAATGTCTGTTCTAGAAGCCAGTATAACCAGGGGTTAAACTGGGATTTTGGAGTAGAGGAAATATAAAATCTGTCAGTTATTCTGTTTCCCCAAGTAAGATATGACTAGCTACTAGACAAACAAACTGTTTGTAAAACAATAATGTTTTATCCCCCTTCCTCAACAAAGCCATTCCGCTGACTGAAACAACTTTTTATGAATAGTGTATATAGTGCCTGATTAGAAATGACAACTTTCTATTTACAAAATAATCCTGAAAAAAGTATCATTGTTTCCACAAAAATATTAAGCAGCAACTGTTTTCAACATTGATAATAATAAGAAATGGTTCTTGAGCACCAAATAAGCACATTAGAATGATTTCTGAAGGAAATTCAGCTTTGCCATCACAGAATTTTCATTTTATTTATTCATATTAAATTGTATTAATATTTTACAATATTACTGTTTTGCTGTGTTTTTGACCAAATAAAAGCAGTCTAGGTTCAATAAATCATTAAAATATCATTAAAATCATTCAAAATCACTCAAAATCATTAAAATATATTACAGACCACAAACTTTTGAACGGTAGTGTGTGTATTTTAAATTACATTTTACATTACTAAAGCTAAAAATGGTCAGCTTATACTATTATAGCTTTTTCAATTAGCCGTTGATTAGCAAGCTAACATTTTAGCCTATTTTAGCTTTTCAAGTTACCCATCACATATTATTACATGCACACATTTTAAATTACATACCACATAAAATTAAACAATTTCCCCTAACTTGCCTTTTAAATTACACACCGCATTATATTCCAGAAGCTAAAAATGGTCACATTGAACATTTTCCTTTCTTTGTATCTTCAGTTGGCAAGCTAACAGCTTTGTCTACTAGCTAACGTATAGCAAGAATTCACAATACCAGTAATGACCAGGCGGCAAAGAAAGAGGGATAATACATGACACTGGAATGCCATTCTGTCCCAATTTAAGTAAAACATATTCCCTTGTGACGTCACTCACCCTGCTGATGAGCTCTCCCACCATGCCTGTCCAGGTGCCATTGGTGCCCGACACTCCATACACGCCGTCCCCAACTAGCCGAATGCGGTACTTGAACTTCAGGATATCTGCCAACTCCTTCAGCATGTCCACGCAGAAGCCTTCGTAACGCTCATTCCCTTCTAGTTCCTGGTGATTGGCTCTCAGCATTACATATGGATTCTCCTGTAAAGATATCATTGCCATTACTGTCGGCAATCACATTTCAACACACTCTCGGAGCACTTCTATATTTGTGTGACAAATGATTGTTTGAGTTGGCAAGTCACACTGTGACTTAGCTGTGTTTCCATCCAAACTTGTGAATTTAACATGTGAAAAATTGGAACATCGCACGGTTTCTATGCCATGTGTTCAAGAGAACAAAATCAAATTAAAATCGAATCATAATGGAAGTTGATACAACTGGGGAAGACACTGTAGCTCTTTTTTCCTACATAAGAAATGACTTGCACCTCAGAGTGTGCAGTTGAAACGCAATAACAAACGCTGTCATGTTATCTTGCGTTCGGAGGCAGATGCCTGATGTTTGGGAACGCAATCGTGTGAGACAGTTCTGAGATGTAATTATACCAAACTTTGGTTTAGACATTTCAGAATGACTAAACCAACATTTAAGATGGTGTGCAATAAGATTTGTCCACTGGTTAGTCCAGTTATCAACTAAATGATTTGCAAAGCCACATGAGGTTTTTGTTACGCATTAAAGGGGTCCTATTATGCTCTTTTACAAAGTCTTGATTTTGTTTTGGGGGTGTACTAGAACAGGTTCTCATACTAGGTTGTTCGAAAAACACATTATTTTCCACATATTTTACATTATTACAACACCTCTCTCCCCAGTCTGGCATGAACGGCTTGAATAGTTCCTGTATCAAATGAAGGCCCGCCTTCTGAAATACGAAATGTGCTGTGATTGGTTAGCTGGGCAAGTGTGTGTTGTGATTGGTTAGCTGGGCCATTGTGTGTTGTAATTGGCACCACTTGGCGCCTGGTCGGGAAATGTCATGCCCCTTACCATAGCCGCCTGCTGCGAGCTTCAGTGTAAATATTGCGTCAAAATCAAATCAATTTGAGTGCGATTTAAACCCGGATGATTTTAACTACTTTAAGTTCATCTGCCTTGGGAAAGCTAGCGTGTCTCCGATATAGTGATAACACTCGTTGCCTTCTCTAGTGCAGCTCAACCAGGTCTCGTCCCATTCGTCAATATTTGTGATATCACAAATCCTGGAAAATATGCGTTGTAGTCCAAACGAGTTGTTCGTTGTAGTTTTTGAAAAGTGATTTCTGTTAAATAAAATATCTCCTTTTGAAGTGGACTTTGAGCTTTGTAACTTTGCATATCTTTTTTATGCTCAAACAGCAACATTACAGACTAACTAAAGTTGAAAAAGTGAAAAAGCATAATAGGACCCCTTTAAGAAATTTATTCTGTAAATGTATTTCCATTGTAGTTTATACACATGTCTTCGTACTGGATACAAAAAAAGAATGATCCGCCTCAGTTTAACACATTTTATGCGCATTTTATGATTTTATGCACATCTTGACATTTCCATCTAGTGGTTTTAAAGCAATATTTTAACGTGATATAAGTTTGCATAAAAATACATGGATGGAAGCATAGCAACAGTTTGGACACATAAGGCTCTGTGACTAATGTGAGCCCACACCACAAGACCAAGTTCCTAATTTATGGTTTGTTTTCTCATGCTGCCAAAAGACTAAAAAGATTTATTAGGCAATCTGTGGTCAAAATAAAGGTTTCGTAAACATTTCATCCTGCATTCTTTCAATAAACACTCACTGTGCCCACCGTTATACATTGGGATATTTTTATAGTGTGTCTAGTGTGCATGGTTGTGGAGTATGTTACTGCCATTTTCAAACACTTTGCACAAATTGAACAGAACATTGCCATATTGGACATAAATAGACACTACAGAATGAAACCAGCCATATGAAAAGTTTTTTTGTATAACTGAAAAAAAAAATCACTTTGTCTGATGTGTTGCAGTAAGACAGACACTAAAATGGGTCTGTTGTACTTATGATTTGTTTAGCGCAGACTGGTTGACTGAAAAGAGTTTCATTTTCACCAGTAAATCTGACTTGCTCCACTCGATGCTTTGAGTGGCAATCTGAAGAGCTGAGGAGACTTTTCAGCCTTTCGCATCGCCATGGCAACATTTTCTTCTTCTTTTTTTTTACCTGCTTGTCTGGTCCTGCATCCCTGATTTTTGATGTGCCCAGTGGCCACGCTCCAGCTGGCCTGAGTATAGCAGCAGCTGGGTCTTGCGGCCTGTCAGACGAGGGGGAACGTCAATGGACATGTTCCGACACTTCAAATAAACCTGAACCCTATTAATACGAGCCGCTCATATGTATCCAAATAACACGGTAACTGTCCTTTCACCTCATTTGTATGTCCATAAAAGCTGCACGCTGTATTTGCAGATGGATGTGCGCACCTTGGACCTGTCGGAGCAAACAGCGAAATCCCATATTGCCATGGCACAAAGAAGAGTCATGGCGCTTTGGCCCAGAGTCTGACACTCTATAAATGCAAATCCTTCCATTTTGTTCATTAACTCGTTGAATCATCCACGCATGTTACCGTAATGCCCCGCACTGACACCGCTGCGGTGGTTATGCAGAAAAGCACAATATAAATGCAAATTTTCATCGCTTACAGCCTGCTGGAGGCACTCAAGTATTGCAGCCGGACACCTTCTCTCAACTAGGCTTATTAAAGAGTAGCATTTCATGGACCAGTTGCATATTAGACAGACGGTTTCAAAGAAAGAAAGATAGCTAATAAACAAACCTTCTGGATTCAATTAATAGGTCTACGCACTGGGAGAGAGAAGTCATCAACGGCTTTGGGTCATTACATGTGGCCCATAATGGCCAACTAGCCTCTGGTCTGATTGATGATTAAGTCAAAGAAAAGGGAATGATTACACATTCATACTTAATTATCTATTATAAGCAGAATCTATGAAAAGACAGAGGAAAAGAAATCGAGGAAGAGGAGGGAAGTAACCTGTGCACACACAGGATTTATTGCCATCATCCTTACGAAAATTAAACCATGGTTTTTATTATAGTAAAAGTGTAGTAACCATGTTTTTTTTTTTTTTGCGTATTGATTGGTTTTACTACAAATACCATGGTTAAACTATGGTTAGTGCAGCAAAATCATGGTAAATTTGTGGTTACCATGGTTTAACTATAGTAACCATGTTTTTATTTTATTTTATTTGAAGTAAAACCATGGTTAATTTCTGTAAGGGCAATATCAGAAATGGAGCTCTGGCACCAGTCAATTACACCAATCACGTCAAATTAAAATTTTTCCATTCTTTGTTTTAAGTTAACAAGCATTCCTTTGTGTTCAATTAGTTCTCAGAAGCTATAAAATTGCATTAAACATTTTTCTTTTGTGCATTTTTTTGTAGTTGGCCTTCAGTTAACAAGCTACAGCTAAGCCTACCTTATCCTTTTAGATTACATTTCCAGTAATATTACAGAAGTTATAAAAATGTAACCAGATTGTTTTCAGCCGTTTTTTTTTTTTTTCGTATTGATTGTTTTACTACAAATACCATGGTTAAACTATGGTTAGTGCAGCAAAATCATGGTAAATTTGTGGTTACCATGGTTTAACTATAGTAACCATGTTTTTATTTTATTTTATTTGAAGTAAAACCATGGTTAATTTCTGTAAGGGCAATATCAGAAATGGAGCTCTGGCACCAGTCAATTACACCAATCACGTCAAATTAAAATTTTTCCATTCTTTGTTTTAAGTTAACAAGCATTCCTTTGTGTTCAATTAGTTCTCAGAAGCTATAAAATTGCATTAAACATTTTTCTTTTGTGCATTTTTTTGTAGTTGGCCTTCAGTTAACAAGCTACAGCTAAGCCTACCTTATCCTTTTAGATTACATTTCCAGTAATATTACAGAAGTTATAAAAATGTAACCAGATTGTTTTCAGCCGTTAGCAAGCTAACAGCTTAGCTTAGCCACTTAAATTACCTATAACTTTACCATTTAACATAGCATCACCAAAGCCAAAAATGATCAGATAAAACATCTCTGCTTTCATTGTTTTCAGTTAACCTTCAGTTAGCAAGCTAACATCTTAACCTTTGAAATTACATATCACGTTACAGTAACTAAAAATTATCGATAAATTTAAACTGTGATAAATCAACTCCTTTTCTCAGCTAGCTTCTAGTCTAATTGATGCTCGAGTGACACAAAACAGAGCGACCACATATTTACGTATAATAATCTATTGTTAGCAAAGCCTATGAAAAGAGGGAGGAAGCGATTGAGGAAGAGGAGTGAGGTTAACTGTTAACACACAGGAGTGGTCCTGGCGTATCGCCATCAATCTCAGGAATGGAGCTCGGGCATCAGTCAACTGAGTGAGTGCTGTTATCAGGCCAAGCAATCCTTTCTTCTGAGCATGAATGGTTCCATAAAATGCGGGTCACATCAGAGAAAGAAACTTTCCCTTTAATAGCGCAGACAGTGAGATTAAGGGCACTTTGAGTGTCAAGTCTGCCAAATGCAACATTCCTCAGCAGTCTGGGATCTGCAGCAGATTTGATTCTATTTGTTTTCTTGGAAGGCTGTCAGCTGATGAAATCAATTTTACAAATATAGCATGGCAGCAGTCCGGTTTGGTGCGTTTGAAAAGCAAACACATTAAAGTCAATCTTACTTCAAATCAAATCTCAAAGCTTTTTGTTCAGAAGGTGAGGAAAAATTGGATTTGTGTGTTAGCATTTCTCAGACGTTCTCAAAAAACATGAGGGAGTATGGTAACTGACTGGTCCCCTACTCTCTCTTTGATTCATTTATGCCTCCCATTTTTTATGGCTTACAGGGGGTGAATGGCACTGAAGATAGTCCAGACAGAACCAGCTCTGCCTGATAGCGGTCTGAGAGACAGAAATTGGTCACAGAGGCAGAACATTACATGAAGATAGCGCCTCACATTTTATATTTATGAACATTTCCAATTGCTCTGTGAATAAAGGCTATCTGCCTCTTCTTGTACACAATAAAGTGGTCTGTCCACTGAAGGTGGCATGCCTGAGGTTTCATCGTGAAATTGTTTCTGCAGTCGTATTTCTCCATGTTTTCAGAAAGAGCACTTTATCGCCATCATTGATTGCAGTGAGCGTGAATTCAGCTGCTGAATGTGAGGACTCTCTTTTCTTTGAGAAAATGCAGTAATACAGTATCCAATCCATGTCACATTATTGTCTTCTGATATTGCACCTATACAGATTCTCTTTTTTTTAAGATGGGTTCTCAGAGACAATTCGGGACGGTAAAGGCTCACATGACTTTTCTCAGTGATTCCATTCAAGCATGATGTGGCGTTTTGAAAAACACTGCAGATAGCATCACAGAAATGCGATTTTATAGAGTGAACGGAACGTGAACCCAGTTTCAAAGGCAAAACAATATGTATTTGAGCCTAGAAAAGAAAAAAGGTCCTGACAACGGCTTTATCTGAGAAAGCAAGCAGTTGTTGAAGGGAAAGCATATCAAACCGAATCAAATGACAGCACACAAAAGTTGAAAAATGATTAAACACAAATAAAACAGCAGTGTCTTGTATTTGCACACACTGTCTGTGTTGTTTTAGTATTTGAATCACTGAGGGAATTATGCAAATCAGGCAATAACTGTGTCAAACAGAGCAAACCCAAAAGCTCTTATAGTGCCTGGTTGAGTACAGCGGGAGGTATGTGAAAAGCAGTGGCACAACTGTGAATTCACCTCCGGCCCCATTGTCCACTGGTCGACTACACACCAGTAATGATTACGAAGGGACTGTGGCCAATTGTAACACATGAATTTCTACAAGTTAGCACTTAGTATGCCCTCACTGAAGTTCTCTCTGTGAAAAAGAGTGTGCTAAATAAATATGAAGTTATATATAGTTTTATATAAAGTATATTTATATAAAAACAGTTAAAATATACTAATGCCTAATGAACATCTGTAATCAAAGCAATAGGAGTAGATTGAAATATAATGTTATAATCACTTTTCACGATTAGTTAATCCCAGCAGCTATGATGGTAAAAACATAGTAAAAGTTTTTAAAAGAGTAGTAGTGTCCGTTTACATTTACAAGTCTTAAAGGAGATCCTCCCATTTAAACCAAGTTTTTAAATCAGAGGGCTGAAATCAGCATAGAAATGTATTTATAAATTACGGCAATTTTGTAATTATCCTACAAACATTATAAGGACTTCAGAAAGCTTTATAAAATATTTCATGACCCATTTAAGCACACATTATTCCTCGCAGTTACTGTAAGTTCGGAAATTAATCAGCAATATTAATGAGTATTAAAGGAGTAATATTACTCTGAGAAGTTCTCTAATACATAACGAGTTAAAGTGAGTTAATATTGTATCATATATTAAATTGGATATTATATCTTTACCAAGTCTGCCAATTGCCACACAAACCAGTCAATCAATGGCAGAGTAACACAGTTTTTTCTCAATCAAAGGCTGTAAGTTATGAAAAGCTGAGTAAAAAAAAAAGTTACAAACAAACATGAGTTATTTGTTTTCTCAATGAAGCACTAAAGCTCCGGCTCCTTCTGCACATGATACAATGCCAAAGGCATCAATACCAACTACAAAACCCCACAGAACAGTTTGTACAGTTTAGACAGCGTTACCACTACAAGCCAAACCAGCTCTAATATACTGTCTATCCTTACAAAAATGTTTGATCTAGCCCATTTCAACAGGGTAAAATTCAATCTGTGTGTTTGTGTGTGTGCTTTAACTCCTGCGATGACAAAAGCTCACAGCAGTAATGAAAACGCTGGTGGAGTGGTCCACAGGTGCTGAGTTCTGCAGCATGTTTTCAACTGTGCTGCGTTTACCGAGATAAAGCAGACTTTGCAATCAGCCTGTGATGAATGGGCCGTGATAGAGCTAAAATTGCTCTTCGGTGGCTCTTTAATGCAGCCAAAGTCTTCGTATATCTTTAAAGAGGAATAAACACACAGTGCAAACTTCTCCCCAGTTCTCCCAGCTGCAACATCATCAAGCACATTAACAATAAAAGATCTGAGAGAAACTAATCGCTCCACCTGTATTCCACTCCTTCCTTTAGTGAAACACACACACCACCCCGACATAATCATCTTCACTTACAGTACTGCACAGCAGTTTTTCATAAACCTGCTGAAAACACCAGCATATGTTGTGTTGGAAGCTGGTGTGCTGATCCCACCAGGGGTTTCAACAAGCTTTAACGAGTTAAATTGTGACGTATATCCAAGTGAAACAGCTTCTCGAATAAGAAAAACTTTGGGGAGGGGCTTGATTTTGTCCATCAGGAATTGACTGGATCATTGGATCTATGACGCTGAGAGAGGAGGGGAAGATGTGCATGGATAAATAATTTAGAATAAACACCGAAATGCTTCCATTATAAATATAAATTGTCCATTTTGATTTCATGGAAAGGGAAAGGAAAGGACGTGACATGTGGCGTCCCATACTTGGAATTTGTGCTCTGCATTTAACCCATCCAAGTGCACACACACAGCAGCGAGTAGTGAACAAACATGCACACACACACCATGAACACACACAGGCACCCGGGGAGAAGTTGGGGGTTCAGTGCCTTGCTGAAGGGTCTCACCTCAGTCGTGGTATAGGGGTTATGCGCAGCAGACTTCCGTATTCTGTTAACCGGGTCTCGTCGCTTCCGGTTCAAGCGTTTTGCATATGCTTAGTTAAATATGAAGCAGTTTTACTCAAGATGCCTTCTAGTGTTGTTTTTGGCGGCCTGTTTTAATTTTAGTTTTAGTCTAGTCTTTGTGTGAAACTGTCATTTTAGTTTTTATTAGTTTTAGTCATAAAAGAAGTTACCACTAATGATCATAACAACTAATCACCCCATATGCGGAGTGATATCTAAAAAATGTTTTTTTTATTTTTATTCTTTTCACATTTAGATATAAAAATTGAATAAAACGTCAACAATAAAAACAGCTAGTTTAACATTATCTTAAAAGTCCATAGATATCACTATTATTTAATACGGCTGTTAACACGTTCTCCGACAAGCGTAAGCAATGAGACCTGTTTTCCGGGTTTGGTCAGGTGATATTCGACATATACCCTATTGAGGGTGGAGAGAGAGTAATTCACTCCCCCCACCGACAATCCCTGCCGGACCTGAGACTCGAACCTGCGATCTTTGGATTACAAGTCCGACTCTCTAACCATTAGGCCACAACTGCCCCTAATGGTGACTAAGCTCAGATGATGGCATTTGTGGCATAATGCTGATTACCACAAAAATGTATCTTCTCTCTGAGACTCCGGCTTCTTCTGCACGTGATATAATATTTTTCTTAAAAAAAAAAAGAAAGAAAGAAAAAAGAAAAAAATCTGGTTTACAGGCACTTCCAACGGACATGAATAGCTCCAATCTATAAACATTAAAATACTCAGTGTTTCAATAGTATAGCCACAACATGACGTTAACTGTGAAAAAAAAATCACTTAATAAACTTTTTCTGTGTAATGTCATAGCCAATTTTACTACTTGGCAACGTAACATCTAAATCCCAAACAACCATAAAAATAATGAGAACAACTTTACAGCTCAAAGCAATTATAAAAATAATACTCAAAATAAGTTTAACCAAAATAATTAATGTAAGTGCTTTTATAAAATGCATCATGCTGTTCAAACTGCATGACTGTGCTTGTCTTTTCAGCAGTTCTTCACGCTTATCATACCTTTCATCAGGTGTAAATTGAACTAAAGAAGATTTCTCCATCTGTCCTCAACAAGGCTGCTTTAAACCAGCTATTTATGGGTTTTCGAGCACTTCATTCACCTTGCATGGCCCTTCTTCATTCGCAGTCTCTTTATTCCTCTCTCTTTTCTAGTGAGAGATGACCTAGCCAGATATGCGACATCTGGCCTAAGGCTGCGGAGAACCTCTTTTTTTCTCATCACTATACAGTGTATGAGAAGATGAGAAAATTGCCTCTAGATAACAGCCTAGCGGATTACATCTTCAATTGGTGGTTGCTGCTCCAGGAAATGCTATCACACGCATACTTGTTAGTTTCCACTCATCTCAGAGGAGAAGAGCCTTTATTTAGATCAGTGCTGAACCCTGAGGTGATCAGAGAATAGACAGACCGTCTCTGGAAGCTAAAGAGAGACTCCTTCAAAAAGGAGCAACTATTTATCCTTTCCAAGGTGTGTGTGTAAATCTCTTGGCTAAATTGGTAGGGTGTGTCCTCTACTGAGGAACCTGGACCAGAGCAGAAGATAGGACTTACCAGGATGGTAGTTATGGTGAGAGTGGTGTTGAATAGTGTGTCTGTCACGTTAAGTGATGGAAGCTTCCTCTCCATGGACAGTCCCTGCTCTGAATGCCACTGACCGATCTGTAGGAGAAACACACTGAGTTAAACTAAGCCTTCAAGAAAACTATGTGGCAGAAGATCCAATGACATAAAAAAGAGCAACCATGAAGCCTTAAAGGGATAGCTCCCAAAATAACAAAACACAAATGAATCACAAAAGAAGTCCATATGACCAATGCATTATATTTCATGTCTTTTGAAACTATACAGTTACATTGTGTGAGGAACAGACCAAAATTTAATTCATTATTCATTGAAACTCATGAAATTTCATTTGTGTTTACATATATTCAAATATGGCACTTCAAAATTCGTACCAATTTTGGCAATGATGTCGATTTCCATTCGTTTTTGCATATCTCAGTGTGCAGATTTGCAAATAAAATGTTCCATTTAATATTTCAAATGTTGTTTGTTTCTTACAAAATCACTTTTATATGGCTACAGAAGACCTGGAATAATACATAAAGAATAAAGGTCGCATTTTTTACTTGTGTATGGGCAACTTATTATTATTTTTAATATTGCAATAATGATTAATAATGTTGATTAATAGAATACATTAAAAAAGACGTCATTCTTGCAGGATACACAGACAAAACAAGCCAAGAACCATTTATGAATTGAGCCATTTATTTATTGTTTTTTACGCATTAGAAAATCAAGACTTTACATTCACACATTCTCCATCACTGAAGCGGCCCATGACTTCAGTCTTGCGCGAGTTATGCTCTCTCTCAAAAATCACTGAAACAGAGAATTTGCGAGACTGAAGTGCACTAAACAAAACTCTGGTATTTTCAGCAGTGATTAATCAAAATCCTCTGATTGGCCATTGCATTTTTAAGCAGAAATGTGTACGACATAATATTTGATGCAGCAAAAAATGCGTAAAACAAAATCTGATTTTGCAAACTAATCTAATTGTAATGCCGCAATAAACACACATTTCAGTTTAATTGCAACAGTCATAACAGATTTAGTTAAACTGTGTAGGCACAGTTTTTGCCTCCTTATCTTGAATTTTGGGGGAATTTTAGTTTATTTTGATGGCATTTTTGTCATTTTGAAGTATGACATTCCCAGTCTTAAACCAGCTAGTTATATAGTTACTAAATCAAGTCAGATGGTGAAGACATAAAAGGGAGAGACATACGGGAGAGTAATTATCACCATTTTAATTCTTGAATGAACTATCTCAATGTCAGGCGGAGGAGAATGCAGAAGTGAGCTTGTCGACACACACACACACACACACACACACACACACAAAACAGTCAGAACACCTTAAAGGAAGTGCAGAAGGGACATGCGCTCAATCAGAGATGCAACAGAATGCATTCATTAACTCAATTACACCCCAATTCTCTGAAGCGAGCCAATGTCCTCATTATCATTCCATTTTGGCTGGCACCCCTCCACTAGACTGCCTATATGGGGGCCACACTGTCTTTAATGGGAGGCTGAGTCTCCACCCAGCACACATGGCAGTCCTAAATCACCCATCATTTTTATTTTTTATTATAATTACAAAGCGGCATGGTTCATTGGGCCTCCTGCTTGAAGTATTCTGCAGATGTGCTGCTCTATTTATCTTCCCCTCAGTACTTGATCCCTAGTGTTTCCATAGACCCAAACGACACAGGGGAGGATGATGCAGCACTGCGCTGGATCTAAAATTACCCACTCTCTGAGATACGAAAGTGTGAAGGGCCACAAACAGAGGAAAAAGTGAGCAACAGGAACTTTTTTTTGGTTCAAAGTGAATGTAAGAAGCAAAAATAATGTAGTAGTGTTATTCTAAGAACTTTATGGATACTGAAGCCACAGAACCAGGAATATTTCTCCAAATCCTGCGTGCATGGGGGACCTTGCATGAAACACTCATAAAAGCAAGCAAAATACATCTGCACTAGTTTGACTTTTATGTTGCAAAGGAGAGCTGCTGTTCAAGATTGCACTGATCCTCATGAGATTGCGAGATGCCGAGGATAATCCATTTGAAAATAGCTCACCATTCTTTCAACTGTAAACCTGTTTTTCAAAGCACACTGCAAAAAATATTTTCTTAATCATTATTTTGGTCTTGTTTTCCACTAAAATATCCCTAAAACAAGATATATTTACTTGAGAAGCAAAACAGATAGAAGATATTAAGACATGCTTCAGATGTTTCAAAAAAAAAAAAAAAAAA